CACTCTGAGTCTCTGAGTTAAATTGTTAGTTTTATTATTCACGGATGTTTTTGTTGAGAATGTAACCTTGAGCTGCTGCTAGTTTCCCAGTTACTGGAAAAGGGAGGCAGGAGGGACTGTGGCCACCACTTCCTGCATAATTCTTGGATAATACCTTCCAGCCACCCGGTTGTACACCACGGTTTTGCACCACACGTACACGTCTCAGTTATACAACAATTATACTCCACATGTATACACCATTTATATACCACAGTTACACACCACAATTAAACATACACTACTACTACTACTTTGCTGTCACTCGAAATCAAGTATGACGATCATCCAGCTATGATACAATGATATGAGTTATTGGTGATGTCACCTTCATTGGTGAGTTTTCAGGTGACAAAAGAGGCCGATACGGGACCGGCAGAATCGTTCACAGATGTTGCACATGTGGAGGGCTACATCGAGTGCGAGAGGGGCGGTGACAGCGTCTTTCCGGCGTTGGTGCTTGTCTGCCTCGGTTTGCAGTCGGGCTAACTTGAAAGTATTGACACTGTTACGAGTTGGGGATTTTGAATATAGTTAAAAGTCTACCCAGATCCCAACAGGCAACAACAACAAAAAAACAAAGACAATCGGACTATAAAAGGGTAGACAGAGGATGAGAGTTTTTGTTGTGTATAATAAAGTACCATAAATCCCTTAACAAAATATTCAGCTTCCTATAAATTACCCTTAACCATACTTAACCTAAACATTAACAGTATATACATATTTATACAACATACAATAATTTGAAGCAAGGTGGAGGTGGGAGAGGCAATACAAGATTACAAATACTTAAGTGAGGAGCTGAGATGGCTGACGAGTAAGGCTGAGTATTGAAGACGGTGGTAGGTAGTCACTGTGCCGTAGGTTTAGAGGATAGGTGATCCTGTGGTCACTTCCCAGAGTGTAGTCCTCTCTCCTCGAACTCGAGCTGACAAAGAAGACTTGGAGGAAGTGACGCAACAACCAGGATATAGAGAAGGGAAACCCCGGAGTGGTAACTAAGACGAGTCATACTCGTGTCTCGTCCCTAGATGGCGTTGCTCGTGGTGCTGGGTAGGTAGATCAGGACAATAGATGGCGTGGTTCGTAGTGCTGGGTAGGTAGATCATGACAATTGGTGGAGGGGTTCGTAACAACACCTTCTCGTGTGGTGCTCCTTCAATAGTTACGATGTGGAGTAATCAACTCCCAGGTGAGGGGGTCGATTTGGCACTTTTTCAGGTTTGTCTTAAGACTATCCTTATACCTTTTCAGTTGCCCGCCGGCGTTACATTTACTATTCGTAAGGTGACTGTAAAGTAGCTGCTTTGGCAGTCTACTGTCGTCCATGCGGGTAACATGGCTAGTCCAGCGTAGTTGTTCATGGATTATGGTAGCATCGATGCCCCTACAGTTGGTGTCAGCAAAGATACTGGCATTTGTTCTCTTGTCTTCCCAGCGAACTCGGAGGATGGAACGGAGACTACGTTGGTGAAAGTTCTCAAGTGCCTTGAGGTGCCTCCTGTATGTGACCCATGTCTTGCTGCCATATAGCAGGGTGGGGAGGACCACTGCTCGATATAAGTATAAATTTGTAGATAATTTCAGCTCCCTACAGCTAAAGACACGGTTTCGGAGTCAGCCAAAGGCTTAAGATGCACATCTGATCCGAGGCTGAATCTCTTCATCAATTTCCGCGGTGGTGGACAGGTGGGAGCCGAGATACCGAAAGTAGGTAACATTAAAGAGGGTAGTACCGTTAAGCTGGATGGATGGTGGAGGTGTGTCTGAACCAGTGGCAAGTTGAAAGAGAATCTGAGTCTTACGTACATTCACCTCAAGGCCAAAGTGTGCATACGCATCTGTGTAGGTGTTCAGGATCTCCTGTAGGTCGTGTTCAGTGTGAGCAACAAGGGTGAGGTCGTCTGCATGCTGAAGTTCAGCAATGGAAGCTGCCGACACATTTGTTCTTGCCTGAAGTCGTCTTATGTTGAAAAGACCCTTCATCCTGTACTCGATGTCCACCCCACCGGCTAAATTGGCACTGGCACGAGCAAGGAAGGCAGCCAAGACAATGGAAAAGAGAGTTGGTGCCAGTACACACCCTTACAATGGCCATGAATTTTGGAGGGGAGCCAAAACAGCTGAGGGTCCACCGGAGGGCTTCCCTGTTGACCGAGTCGAAGGCCTTGGTTAGGTCGATGAAAGCCATGTACAGGTCACTGCACTTTTCCTGTATCTGGCGGGCAGCAAAGAGCATTGAGATTCTGGGAGGAAGTTTTCCGCCTCAGGCAATAATTTGCCAGCTACGGACAGCAGCGAGACCCTACGGTAGTTGCCACAGTCTGACCGGTCTCCCTTGTTCTTATAAGCATTGACGATGGAAGTGTCTTTAGGAGCTTAGGAGATTTCCTCCTTTTCCCATATATTCTCCAGGAGACGGCTGGTAAGCAGAGGTCCTCCTGCTTTAAACACCTCGGCTGGGATTCCATTAGGTCCTGAGGCTTTGTTATTTTTCATCTGTTTGATGGCAGTTGCTACCTCATCCAGGGATTGACGTAAGCTGAGGTGGGTCAGCTCTTGATGCTGAGGGACCTGCTGGGTTGTCAGAACATCGACATCAGTGATTCGGTTGAGGCCTTCATTGTCTTTAATTATGGAGTTACCGTCGGATGAGCGGAGGGAGGCTAAGCCACGAGTGATTGGTCAATAAAATGTTTTGGTGGAATTGAAAATTTCGCGCATCTTGTGCTGACCTGCAAGTTTTTGTGTTTCACATGCTTCATTGCAAAGTACAGTACTTAATTTTGCAACAATCCTGGAAGAGAAAAACGTGTTTTCTCTTAACATGTATGTATTTTACTAAGGAACTTTTGTGTTTATGAATACAAATGCCTGTACACTGTATAATTTATTTTATAAGTTACCAAAGATGCAGCTGCAAGTTAAACCTACTGTATATCTAATTATTTTACTCCTATGTAAATACAATATGCTTGCTAAAAAAAGTGAATTAGAAATTTAAAAGGCATCCTTTTACATAATCTTATCTTGAGACTCATGAGACTTGGGGCCCCCCTTTCGTGAACATATATACGCCACTGTAAAGGGAAAGTGCTTAGTGACTGAAAATCTGCTATAACATCACCGAGACGTTCAAGAAGTGTACAGTAGAGAGCGGGAGAAAACAATAAGCCAGCCGGCTTAACATCACATATCTGCAAACTCAGATGAAATTTTGCGGGATGCTATCACCTGACAACTGACAGAGCCCAGTCCTATCAACACATCACGACATGGTTTCATGGAGTGAAAATCTTGTTTGAAAAAATTTACTAACATTCCTTGAAACGGTAAAGGACTATGTGGAACAAGATTTACCAGTGGATGTGTTGTACAGTACATTTAATATTTTGAACGCTCTCGACGGTGATCCACATGTGCGGTTAGCCTATAAATTTCAGGTACAGTACACGGTACACAGGCAAATTATTAGGGTAATTTAAAAACTAGTCCAAAGACTAATAGTGAGAAATGGAGTTCAATTAGACAGGAAAGAGGTTAACAGTGGAGTACCACAAGGAGACAATACGAAGATGTATGGGAAGGTGACCAAGCAGGAAAACATTACATCCATACAAAATGATTTGCACGATCTTTACTAATGGTTCCAGGACTGGTGAACATTTTTTTATAAAGCATTGTGTAAGACTTCATGTAGGGCATAACAACTCAAAACACAGCTATTCTGTGAATATTATTTCTTGCCAACTGTATATATGGGCAAAGACCTAGGTGTCGTGATAAGTTTATCACTGATATCAACACATTAAGTGAGGTTAGGTTACAGAAAACCAACCAAACTTTGGGTATAATTAATCATACCTCTGAGAGATAAAAATAAGAAAATCTCGCCTACGTTTCCATCTGGATTACATTACTGAATCTAAGGATGGAGACCATGCCTGCAATAAGGCGTAACATCACTAAAATTATTCCAGAAATAAGATTTCTTGACTGAGGGTTTTGGATTTGACAAGTCTTCGGACAAGAAACAACAGGGCATTCAATATATTGAAAAGAATGGAAGAATCAGGTATCGTCAGGATATCAAACACTGAAAATGCAAGTGGTCACAGCTTCAAGTTTTCTAATTTGTTACGAAGAACGCATATAAGAAAACACTTCATGCGGCGGTGGTCGACTTGTGGAATACTATAGTTTACCAGCTGAAGTCGTGGGGGTGAGGTCAGTATTGGACAAGGCTGTTAAAGGCCAAGAGGGTACCCTATACATAACACCTGCCCAACATGACCATCACTATAATAGTTGTAGTTTGAGTTATAGTACACCAGGAAAAAAATATAGTATTACTACTTGGAAGGGCAATATTGTCATTATAATCCTCTTTTTACACATCGGTCAACTAAATGACTTTATGTAACCAGATATATCCATCACCATTTGCTGAACTGAAATTAATGGAAGCGTTTCGACACAACACTTTTTCAGTATTAAATTGCTGTGGTTATCATGTATTACCTATGTGGTATAAAGAAGTACGTCTATCATTATACCATTTCTTGTATATTATCTGGAATATGACAGTAATCATTGCGTTTTAAATGCTATCAGAAGAAACTCGCAAGCAGTCAGTAAGTTTTAGTGTGTACATTGTGTTGAAGCGTTGAAGTGCAGAAAGTTTCCCGCTGACTGTCCCGGTCGGTTCCCCGTGATTGCAACATCACCCCTACCGACATGTGCCAGCTATCGTCACTAACATGCACTATATTTGTCGGAATAAAGTTAACTTGATATTATAATTTTATTAAAATAATCGTATGAAACAGTATATTGTGTAAATTATATGGTTTTCATTTTTGAGACCACCAACTACAGAAGAAATTGAGATATTGAAACGACCAAACCATATACTTGGAAACTTCACACACGCATGCGCAGAACTGCTGGCCAATGGAGTCTGGGTATATAAAGGGATGTTGATCATAACATCAGTATATCAGGTGTCCTCCCCCCGATAAACGGTAACACCAATAGCAGGTAAGACACAGTGCCCGATAGTATGAAAGTTTTAAAGTACAGTGGCAAGGTAGTAACCTTTTTTTAATTACTTATTGTTGTAAAACTTAAATTAAAATCAGTTTCTCAGTCTTTCTAATCGTTGACATTATAATGTTTATTAGTGCTTCGACAACTAAAATCTTTAAGCCTTTACATATAATTTTTGTGTCGGAGGAAATCCGAGGAATGTGATGGTTAATGTTACAAGTGACAGGCTGTGAATATTCTTTGATTGTGCAGTAGACACAAAATAATTTTGAAAATAGTGAAAATAGTCGAAGGGAAGTAGCATTACTTAACCATGATGTTGTTGACCACTTGTGTCAGTAATAATAACAATGTTAGGTAAATATGACCTGTAAGGAGTCACCACGCCTCATAACAGCATACCGGTATTTTTTTTCTTTAGGTAATGTGGCACCAGACATGCTGCACCATCATTTACACTGCTCAAACTCTGTTTTATTAATACCTTGAAACCAGTGCAGCCGCCCAAAAGTTTAACAAGGAAGTGATGACACTCACCACTGGTGGAGAGAGCGGCACCTGCGAGTCACGCGCTGCAAGTGCCGGCATTGGTCACACAGTCATACTCACTTTCTAGCCTGGCTACGGCGGACAAACCTGTTCTTTACACATTCACTTCGACCGGCGAGTGACCACTCCTGCACTTTCCACATTCTGGTGAAACTTTAATTGTTATAGGTGTACTAGTGAAGGTTTTATTTCTGATACCAGTCAACTCTCTCCCTCTCTCCGTTTCTTTTTCTGTAAGGAATTTTAATATTTAACTTTGGGATGTTTAACAGAGATAAGGAGGAGGTGTTGTGATAATTTAGGTTGAGGAAATTAACTATGTTGCATAAGTTGTAACTTGTAGATATCCTGAGCATTGACTCCCCCAGCACAACCTGCCCGTGTTGACCCCACACCACAATGACCTCAGCACAACCTGCCCGTGTTGACCCCAAACCGCACCGACCTCAGCACAACCTGCCCATGTTGACCCCACACCACACCGACCTCGGCACAACCTGCCTTTGTTGACCCCACCACACACCGACTCAGCACAACCCGCTGCTACACCCATGGCAAACCTGCCCGGACACCACACCACAATGACCTCACAAAACCTGCCCATGTTCCCCCACACCACACCGACCTCAGCACAACCAGCCCGTGTTGACCCCACACGACACCGACCTCAGCACAACCTGCCCGTGTTGACCCCACACCACAATGACCTCAGCACAACCTGCCCGTGTTGACCCCACACCACAATGACCTCAGCACAACCTGCCCGTGTTGACCCCACACCACAATGACCTCAGCACAACCTGCCCGTGTTGACCCCACACCACACCGACCTCAGCACAACCAGCTCGTGTTGACCCCACACGACACCGACCTCAGCACAACCTGCCCGTGTTGACCCCACACCACAATGACCTCAGCACAACCTGCCCGTGTTGACCCCACACCACAATGACCTCGCCCTGAAGATGTGAATTTCACGAAAGCGCTTGGGAACTTCGTGTTTTCTTGTTTCGTATGTGGTTATCAGCATATATTTATTTGCTTTCTTTTCAGTCATGAAGAGTGTAGGATTGGTGTGCGTGTTCCTTGCCGTGGTTATCGTGGCCCAGGAACCTTCATTTTACAGCAGGAAACTGACAGCTGACCAACTCAGAGGTGTGTCTCTGTCCCCATCCGTGTTCCTCGTACTCAACTTCTACCTCTCTTACTCCTTCATACTAATTCCCTGCCCCTCATACACTCCCGGTGCCCCGTATACTTCTCATACTCTCCTCTCATAATCTCGTAGCCCTCATAGTCTGCTTTTGTCCCTAATACCCCTTCCCTTCATACCCCCAGACTCCTCCACTGTACCTCATACTGCCCCCCTGCCCTTCTTACTCTTCTCCTCCCCTCTCATATACTCCTCCCTTGCCCCTCACACACCTTATCTGCCCCTTATACTCTCCCTTCACCCCTCATACTCTCCTGCTACCCATCTACTTTCCGTCCCTCATACTCTCCCCCTGCCCCTCACTTTCTCTCCCCGCCCCTTATACTCTCCCCCTGCCCCTTATAATCTCCCCCTGCCCCTCATACTTTCCCTCTGCCCTTCATACTATCCCCGTGCCCCTCATACTGTCCCCCTGTCCCTCATACATATGCCTTCTTCTGCGCATCATAATAAACAAAATATATATACAGGTGTCTTAAACAGGTAAGGACAATGTTGAGACACTGTGTGTGTGTGTACAGTATATACATCCTAAATATTTGATGTCATAGATAGCAAAGTGAATATGGATAACTAGAGCATCATGGATAACTAGTGAATATGGTTAACTATTGTGTCCTGGGTAACTAGTTAATATGAAGAACTAGTGTCATGGGTAACTAGTTAATATGTTTAACTGGAGTGTCATGGGTAATTAGTTAATATGAAGAACTAGTGTCATGGGTAACTAGTTAATATGAAGAACTAGTGTCATGGGTAACTAGTTAATATGAAGAACTAGTGTCATGGGTAACTAATTAATATGAAGAACTAGTGTCATGGGTAACTAGTTAATATGAAGAACTAGTGTCAAGGGTAACTAGTTAATATGAAGAACTAGTGTCATGGGTAACTAGTTAATATGAAGAACTAGTGTCATGGGTAACTAGTTAATATGAAGAACTAGTGTCATGGGTAACTAGTTAATATGAAGAACTAGTGTCAAGGGTAACTAGTTATTATGAAGAACTAGCGTCATGGGTAACTAGTTAATATGGTTAACTAGAGCGTCATGGGTAACTAGTTAATATGTGTAACTAGAGTGTCATCGGTAACTAGTTAACATGAAGAACTAGTGTCATGGGTAACTTGTGAATATGGAAACTGATGTCATGGATAACTAGTGAATGTGGATAATTGGTGTCATGGGTAACTGTGGGGTGTCCTGTCCCCAGACTTCCCTGGACTGTGCTTCGGGTCAACCACCTGTCGGGTATACAATGTGACGGAGTCTTGGGCGATTCTCCCCTTCTGCGGTAAGGCTACCTGTGTTAAAGAGGGGGATGCCCTCTTCGAGGTTGTGTCAGAGTGTGCCAGGGCCAAGCCCAGGGCTGACTGCAACGAGATTCTTGTCAACCCTGCAGAGGTGCCCTTCCCTGACTGCTGCCCTACGTACAATTGCACAGGAGGCCCCATCGAGTACTACACACAAGCAGAAAGCGAGCAGCTACTAGCAGCTTCCGCTAGTCTCCCCAATGCCGGGCCTGCAACCGGTGTCACCACCTCATAAAATGTTCAGGAGAGGCGACTTGCGTGAGGGAGCTGAATATGTTCTTGGGCGCCGCCATAACTACCCTCCCTCCCTCACCATTATCAATAACAACCTGCGAAGCTATCATACAACGAGTAGAATCGTTTTGACACACTAAAATCTTACAATTAATGTACAGTAAATGGTTAGTGATATATATATATATATATATATATATATATATATATATATATATATATATATATATATATATATATATATATATATATATATATATATATACTGTGTATATATATGAATTAAATCAGAGCAAAAGAGGGAGGGAACTAATGTGAGAAAGGAATGAAGGCGGTAGGACGTGGACACCTGGTATCCAACAACAGCCATCCGGCTGCCTTGCTTGTTACACTACTCTAAAGTCACATTACAGTATCCGTATCCAAAAAGACTCCAATAACTTCAAAATAAATATACCATTACTGTCTATGATAACCTGATCTTCTCGTATATAAAGACAAAATGGAATGAATTAATATGTAATTCTAATGTGAAAATTACAGTTGTACCATCCACAGTTTACTTTGTTAGGCAGTGTTATGGCTAATGCCTTATAAACTTAAACTATAACATGCAGTAATAGACGTAAATGTAATAAATTAACAAAAAAAAAAATGCCTCTTCATTTCCTTTAAAAACATGTGAGGTGTACCAAAGTGAGAGACATGTGAAGTGTACCAGAGTGAGAGACATGTGAAGTGTACCAGAGTGAGATTTGATTGATTGATACGTTTATTGAGATACAAAAAACATTAATACATCTCAAAGGGATGAAGTGACATAAGTCATCCCCACCCCAGTCCAGGAATGTCCCTCACAGGACTCACATAAATCCCTAATATTTCATATAATCAGTTATAGTACATAGTTATATTCTAGATGCAAAATTTCTATATTTCTTTAATATTTCATCTATTTTCCTACTTTTAAACATCCACTCTATTTGCTTGGGGACATTATTTATAATGGGCATTTCTATATACATTAAGCAATGAGCATTCCAGTATATAATGTGGCAGGGTATGGGATCTGGATGTTCTACAAACTCTACATTCTTTATCCTGTTCACTTCTCTCAGCTCCAAGTTCCCAATAATATTTATATCCTAATCTTAACCTCATATACACTGAATCTTTCCACCTACTTCCATCTTTCCCATATGTAAATTTTGTGTTCATGAGAACATGATGGTAATGTTTCATTGTTTCACTTTTCTCGTATATTTCATTCCTTTTGAAATTATCTTCTAAACCCCCACCAGAGTGAGAGACATGTGGAGTGTACCAGAGTGAGAGACATGTAAAGTGTACCAGAGTGAGAGACATGTAAAGTGTACCAGAGTGAGAGACATGTGAAGTGTACCAGAGTGAGAGACATGTGAAGTGTACCAGAGTGAGAGACATGTGAAGTGTACCAGAGTGAGAGACATGTAAAGTGTACCAGAGTAAGAGACATGTGAAGTGTACCAGAGTGAGAGACATGTGAAGTGTACCAGAGTGAGAGACATGTGAAGTGTACCAGAGTAAGAGACATGTGAAGTGTACCAGTGAGAGACATGTAAAGTGTACCAGAGTAAGAGACATGTGAAGTGTACCAGAGAGAGAGACATGTGAAGTGTACCAGAGTGAGAGACATGTGAAGTGTACCAGAGTGAGAGACATGTGAAGTGTACCAGAGTGAGAGACATGTGAAGTGTACCAGAGTAAGAGACATGTGAAGTGTACCAGTGAGAGACATGTGAAGTAAAATTAAGAGTGAGACATGTGGGAAGGTACCAAGTGAGACATGAAATGCACAAGAGTGAGACACCTGAAGTGTACCAGAGTGAGACATGTGAAGTGTACCAGAGGAGACATGTGAAGTGTACCAGTGAGACATGTGAAGTGTACCAGAGTGAGACATGTGAAGTGTACCCAGTGAGACATGTGAAGTGTACCAGAGTGGAGACATGTGAAGTGCAACCGAGGAGACAGAAGTGAAGTGTACCAGAGTGAGAGGACATGCAGTGCAAAATTTAGAGTGAGACCTGTGAAGGTGTACCCAGAGTGAGAGCATGTAAAGTGTAATCGAGTGAGACATGTGAAATGTACAAGAGAGACATGTGAAGTGTAAATTAGAGTGAGAGACATGTTAAGTGTACCAGAGTGGAGACATGTGAAATGTACCAGAGTGAGACATGTGAAGTGTACCCCAGTGAGACATGTGAAGTGTACCCTAGAGTGAGAGACATGTGAAGTGTACCCAGAGTGAGAGACATGTAGCGTAAATCGAAAGTGAGACATGTGAAGTGTACCAGAGTGAGAGACATGAAGTGTACCCAGGAGTGAGACATGTGGAAGTAGTACTAGAGTGAGAGACATGTGAAGTGCACCAGAGTGAGAGACATGTGTTCTATGAGACATGGAGCATACGCACCACCCAGAGCCTATTGCCCATGTCTTAAACAGGAGACATGTAGTTTTATATATATGTATATATATACAGCCCATATACCATGAGTAGGACATGTAAAGTGTACCGAGTGAGACATGTGAAATGTACAAGAGTGAGACATGTGAAGTGTACCAGAGTGAGAGACATGTGAAGTGTACCAGAGTGAGACATGTGAAATGTACCAGAGTGAGACATGTGAAGTGTACCAGAGTGAGAGACATGTAAAGTGTACCGAGTGAGACATGTGAAGTGTACCAGAGTGAGAGACATGTGAAGTGTACTAGAGTGAGAGACATGTAAAGTGTACCAGAGTGAGAGACATGTGAAGTGTACCGAGTGAGAGACATGTGAAGTGTACCAGAGTGAGAGACATGTGAAGTGTACCAGAGTGAGACATGTGAAGTGTACCAGAGTGAGAGACATGTAAAGTGTACCAGAGTTAATGAATTCAACCTGGATTGTAGTTTGGAAGATGGAAGGTAGATCCTAGTCTTCCAATAAACAGCTCGTACTGTACAGTTTTATGAAAGTTCCCCTCATCGGGGGTACATGAGATAAATATAAAAAACTCAAAGGTTTGAGCATATACAAAATATACCATATGTACGTATTATTTTTAATACACATACTTGCAAAATCTCATTATTGCGACCCAGTAATTACAATCCCATACCGAAAATATCGCAGAAATGCCACGACCTTCAAAAAACCTCCCTGCACGGTGATGTTTGAATGAATATACTTTTTTCTTTTCTTTTATCCTCTTCACCACTGATCAGCTCGTTAGCCACTTGGGCGATCGGTCACGTCTCTGATTACTTTTCCTGATTGCCGCTGTATTCTTCTGCACCATCAACACTGACAACGAAACGAGTGTAGGGGAACTTACACCAGCTGTTTTTGTTGACGTTGCCTCATGTAGGGAGACACACACAACTCTGCATTTCTTTGTTTTACACCAAATTTAGGGAAGTTAATGGGTATATAGAGTAAGGCCTTGCTTTAACATTGTCATTTCATTATAACATTGCTACTCTTTAGATACCCATGAATCTGACAACATTGTTTTACAGTCCACATGATTCGTTATAACGTTACCCTAACATTGTTACCCAGCACCGACTACTTTATATGGCATGCAGAATATGGTCTCTTGTGTCTTGCTGCTCTCTCTCTCTCTCTCTCTCTCTCTCTCAGAGAGCATCATGGCATCCCTAAATTTCTTCTTCCCAATCTTTCTTAAGCTTCCACAGCATACAGTAGTATTTAAGTGTTTTTGCTGCAAATACTGTACTGTAATCCATCAAAATGGCTTCCAAGCACTCATCACTTGTGGTGCTAGTGATGTGAAGAAGAAATGCAAGACCACATCGGGGCTTAGGGAGCAAATATATAATAGTAATAATAATAATAATAATAATGATAATAATAATAATAATGATAATAATAATGATAATAATAATAATAATAATAATAATAATAATAATAATAATAACAATAATAATAATACTGTAACAATAATAATAATAATAACAATAATAATAATAATAATATTAATAATAATTTTTTTTACTTTAACGTACCCAAGTCCGTAATATATGAACCCAGTCTGAATGGGTCAGAGTATCCGTTAAAGCTGAAGTCCGTTACAGATGGTGTCCGTTATATTGGGGGTTTACTGAAATAAATACACAGCTATGCACTTCGTCCCTACCGGTAGTACAAACTTTTTCCTTATCCCTTTCAAACGTAAGTGATGAGAGAGAAAGGCAAAAAGCACAGCTGAATTTCCAGAGTAAGAGACAGTTTAGCAGGAAATTTTCATAATTTTGCGGGTTGAAAATTCTGAGACTGAGGAAAGTTATTACATGATCCAGATAGTGGAGAGGAGGAGACAGGTGGTACTATTACTGGTACTATAAATTTTTATACCATGGCTAAACCCATTTGCTGTGGATCTCCATGAAGAGTAAGGCAAATGTTCAAATATATTACACATACTGTATGCACTGTTGACCTGTTTTTAGAAGTACAGCACTGATATGCACTCTATCATGCCCTGCACCATCTAATTTCTAGCATGGCTAGTCTCTTTCAGGAAGCTCCCTGAAAGAGTAAGGCATTATTGATACATATGTTATGTTAGAATATATTTTCATACAGCTTTTTAAATAAAAACGAAATGATTGTACAATGTTGTATTCTTTCCTTGTCATAAATCCCAAACAGCCCAAATCTTTGTCAGTATATTTTTACTTAAAACACAGTAAGTAGTATTATAGAGCTGAGCTAATATGAAGTATTTTGATGAAGTAGTTTTTAGTGGAGATTAGACATTCCATGCAAAATGCTCATCAGATTAAAATACCCAATGAAAGGGTTAAGGAAATAAAATTAAAGATGACTGAGTCACGTACCCCCTGTACGTTATATCTCACACTGAGACCAAGAGGTACGCTGACCAATAAAGGTTCACAACCACTGCTTTAGGGTATATGCTAAAAAATATAAAATGAGTTTTTATTCTACACTATCAGCAGAACAGGGTACACCAATAATATCCATCCATACATGTATCAATTTCATTATCATATCAAAATTTTCAGCCATTTGATCTGCATTTGTCTGTTTGACTGTAAATATGATGTAAAAATTCCTAATTGCTCCCAATAACAAAATTCTAAGTACAGGTACACCACCGATTTTCCGGGAACTGATGGTCCAGCACCTCCTTTAGTCCCGACAAAATTAAGAGAGGGCACTTAACTTCCTCCATCCCAGCCTGGGTGAAGGTAGTTTTAGGCTTTAAGTTTTTATCTTATAAAATGTAGATGACTAGACCTAGCAGAATATAAATTACATTGCTGGAATCCTTGTAATATACCTGATTAATTTGAGTATAAATATCACATAGTTTGCAAAATAAAAAAAAAAAATTATTCTAGTGTAGTACATTTGAGTACAAGTTTTTTAACTCCTATTTTTGGGAATATATTCTGTATGTAACTTTCTTCATTTATTTTTATTCATTTACATGTACAAACCACCATAAAAATATATTGTGAAAAATAGTAAAAGAAATAATTGTCCTAAAGGCTAACCTGTACTCAAATTTACTTAGTTAATTACTAAAAATTTTATGTCTAGTGCAAACTATGGGATGTTTGTACTTAAATTAATCACTATCTTACAAGAATTACAGCAATGCAGGTTATATACTGCCAAGTCAATTCAGTGACATTTTTTAAGGCAAAACTTAAAACCCCTCTACAGTATTTGATAGCACTTTGTTATCTCCCCTCCCAGACAGCTGTCAACACCTCCAAATAAAGAAAGAAAAACACCTCCCCCTTCCTCCCAGCCAGGGTGATTTTTTTTTTATCCTCCAGTTTTAGGCTTAAAGTTTTTATCTTATAAAATGTAGCTGACTAGACTTAGTAGAATATAAATTACATTGCTGGAATCCTTGTAAAATACTGATTAATTTGAGTATAAACATCACATAGTTTGCACAAGAGAAAAGATGCCCCGTCCCCTCCTCAAAGAGTTACAACTGATTGGCTGTTGCAAGCCTGTCCGATTTTGTCCCGAGTAAGGATGTATTTCCAAACGAGTTTATTCATAATGATCGTTTCTGACGAGAAAGATATTTAACTAAATTATATAAAGATACATACCTTCATTACTTCAAACAGGAGCACATAGGAAGTAATCAGAAGTATTATATGTGAATTAAGTGAATTAACTGATAAACTCGGGTAGCAAATTCACGCTTTCGGCGGAAGCATTTAATATACAGTGGTCCCTCGGTTAACGAACTGTTCGATTAACAAAATTTTGGTTAACGAATTAGTTCCCATTAGGATTTTCAGTTCGATTAACGAACAAAAGATCGATTAACGATATCCTTATGACAAACACGTTTTGTTGTGCGCATCAGTTGATCAGCTGAGTGGCAAGTCCGCCAATACAGTAATTGGTTCTATGTTTACATTTGTTTCCAGTGGAGTAAATATCCAAGAAAGTTGGTCTCTTGAAGATTTCTGCATTTTTTAAATTAAAATTATTGGTCATTCTGAAATTCAGTTAACATATTAATAATATATACAGTACAGGGAACAGTTTTTGTACCCAATCAGCTGATCGAATCACCCAACAACGCTTCTCAGTTTAACTTTGTTTATAGTGGAGTGAATCGATTTTGTTGGTCTCTTGAATATTTTGCATTTTACATTAAAATTATTGGTCATTCTGAAATTTAGTTAACCTATTGATAATATACAGTGCAGAAATTATTATGAAACATGAAGAAGGCATTAGAACCAATGCACTCTGTAAAGAATATGGGGTGTCATCACTGATTGCCTCTACAATCAGCTGTTAAACATGTAAACAAAGCTGCCGGTAATACGACATACACACCTGAATGTAAGCAAAAATACAGTATTCTATTGTTTTTTTATTTATTAATGTACAGTATACTGTACAGTACAGTACTGTATTTAGTTTATATTTAATGTTTTGTTAATTCTATTACCGGTATACAGTACTTTGTATGTATACTTATTCTGTGAGTTGGAACCAATTACCCAATATCCCATTGAAATAATAGATTCGGTTAACGAACGACTCTGTGGAATGAATTGTGTTTGTTAACCGAGGGCCCACTGTACAGGTACTCCTCGACTTACGACCTACTCGACTTAAGACCACCTGGACATACAACCGCCACAGTCGTATAAAATATTTTTCAAATTGCGTATTTTCGAGTCTCGACGTTAGTGATCGCGCTGTGTACTGATAAGATTTTTGTTTGTAATTCCCTTTAAAATGGCTGGCAAGCAAAAAATTGAGAGTTTTGTGGTGCTGAGAAGAAAAAAAGAGACACCCATTTTAGATTTTTAATGTATTATTTTCACATTTTCGACTTATGACCTGATCGTCGGTCCCTAACCCCATCGTAAGTCGAGGACTGACTGTATACTTATTTTTACCTACAATAAGACATACTAAAACAAATTACATATCAGTAATAGTACATTATGCAAAAACATTTTAAAAGATCAGAATCACATTGAAATATTACACGGATGTCAGCAGAGGAGGGAAATATGACTGCGAACTACTTCGTATTTTTCCCGCCTTTGCTAATGGTCGTGTAATATTTCAATGTGATTCTGATCTTTTAAAATGTTTTTGCATAATGTACTATTACTGATATGTAATTTGTTTTAGTATGTCTTATTGTAGGTAAAAATAAGTACAGCTCCTCCCCGACTTACGACCTGCCTTAGTAGTACCAAAATTTTGTCAAATTACGTATTTTCGAGTCCCAGCGTCAGTACACAGATAAAATTTTCGTTTGTAATTCACTTTAAAATGGCTGGCAAGCTTAAAAGTGAGAGTTTTGTGGTGCTGAGAAGAAAAACAGACACCCATTTTAGAATTTCTATGTATTATTTAAGCATTTTCGATTTACGACCATTTCGACTTATGACCTGGATTTGGGTCCCTATCCCCGTCCTAAGTCGGGGAGGAGCTGTATACTGTATATTAAATGCATCCTCCGAAAGCGTGAATTTGCTACCCGAGTTTATCAGTTAATTCACGTATAATATATCTGATAAACTTCCTACTTGCTTATGTTTGAAATAATGAAGGTATGTATCTTTATATCATATAGCTAAATATCTTTCTCGTCAGAAACGGTCATCCCAACGATTATGAATAAACTCATTTAGAATGACACCATTACTCTGGACAAAATCAGACATGTTTGCAACAGCCAATCAGCTGTAACTATTGAGGAGGGGGCGGGGCATTTGTTCTCAACTGAGAAAAAATGCACTACAGTATACTGTAGTGTAGTACATTTGAGTACAAAGTGTGTACAGTAATGTTGCTCAAAATTTTGACTTTTTCACATATAATTTACATTTAATATTCGTTTAATTTAAGTTTCTAGCAGTCCATGATGCTTTAGAGACACAGGAGGTGTATAATTAGTGGGTCAGAGGTGTATTGTTGAATTATAATTACCTGACCTCGGTTGGTCTGGCAAAACGGATAATCTGGCAAGGCTTTGGAACCAAGGGTGAGGGAAAATCGGTGGTGAACTGTAGCAGATAAAGTAAATTAATATTCATAGACATTTTTTATGCTTCAAGAGGAAAGGAATTATTCAGTACCTCCTTCTTATAATCATGATGGCAAAAGAAAAGTCTTCGAAACAGGAAAAAATATTTCTTGTATCATGAAATGTTAGTTACAAGAAGATGAACCATCACAAGCCCATAAGACATGTTTGTACCAGGAGTTCAGGCTTACAATAAGCCATATCAAATACATTACAAGTCAAGTTAATAGATCAAAACCATTAAATGGTAAGAAGCAACAAAGTGAACTACTGATAAAATCCTTCAACTGCTTGCTGCTGCATAAAGGAAATTTAAAATCCCCATAAAAGGTCAAGAGCGACAGATTAGGCCATCAACCTCTACAGAGATTCCTTAAAGAAGAAAAAACCATCATCAGCATTACCAACTGCCTCAAATAAACATTGACATTATTTACATTTCCCCATCTTTAATAATCTATATTAATTAATTGATTTACAGCACATACACTTCCCATTCATAATCATTAATGATGAAGTGGAGATATGTTATATTTCAATTTATTAGTAGTGATAAATAGTAATTATTCATGAAGTTTTTAAAACTATATAACCGGTATCATTATTCATGAAAAAATTAACTATGTTACCGGTATCGGAGTATAAACTAAATTTACTATACAGTAACTGCTGATGTATAAAATTAGAACATATTATTCAAAGTACTTTGGGATTAAAAATTAAATTGCAAAGTTACAACAGACAAACTTACTGTGAAAATGCTGGTGCAATACCTTGTGAAAGCAATAACCAGGACTGTCAATATCCTTCATGGACATATCCACTTTGGGGCTTAATGCATATCTGGAGAGTATCTCAGTGTGTGTCTGATGAAACTAAAAGTTATCAAAAGTTTTGTCATCCCAGACCAATTCCAATAAAATATGAAAAAGTAATAAATACAACTAAGATGTGCTTATCAACTCAAAAACTGTGGAGAGAATGTTATTCTTATTGACAGGATACAAATAAATGCACTATAAATATAAATACCATATAACAATTAAAATGTTCCTGATAAACTTAAGAAATGAAAAGCAATTTCCTAAATATCATCGAGAACCAATTGAAAAAATGAAGGCGCTTATCATAAATAATTAAGGGTCTACTGAGATAAATGGCTTCCCTGAAAAGACAGAGACTTTTCCCAATGAACAAGCTTACTGACTCAACCACAGAAAAAGCTTTGTGATATACTGCATAAACAACCTACAGGTACAGTAACAGGATTCAAATATACATTAAGGTTGAGTTACAATTACTTTCCTAAATTTAATACAAGATCTTTACATATAGCAGACTCGATTATGAACCATGCTACTAAAGTTTCTTGAGGCATAAGATAAGGCTTTTTCACTGGACACTCAAGCCTTCACAAAAATCTACGGCCTCATTGTTGTAGTCGAAGAAACTCTTCAAATGCCTCAGCCACATCCCCTTCCAATTCTTCCACTGCAGGTGACCACCTGAAATAATATTAAATTTAAGAGCATACAGTAAATGAAAGTCAAAGTACAACAATTAAAATTAGAGGACTAAAATTTAAAGTTCCTCTTTGCCGCCAAGGAGATGCATGAGATAGTAGGCTACTGGAGTCCATATGTTAACATAAACAACACAAACACAAACAATTAAGGTTAGTGCTGGAAGTGGTTCTTCTCTGAGTGCAAATAAGACAACTCGTACTAGAGGCACTGTGATAGAAAAAGTGAAAAAGATGCTGGCAATGTGGATGGAGGACCAGAATCAACACAATGCCCCTGTGAGCCTTATGGTTATCCAGCATAAAGCCAGATCCTTGTTTGACGACATGACGGAAACAGAGTGTGAAGGATCGAAGGAAAAGACCTTTACGGCCAGCCGAGGCTGGTTTCAGCGATTTAAGCATCGTTAATACTTCCACAATATTAAGATGACTGGTGAAACTGCCAGTTCAGATAAGGTTGCTGCCGAGACATTCCTGCCAGAATTCAAACGGATTATCCAGGAAGGAGGCTACTCATCGAAGCAAGTCTCCAATGTGGATGAGACGGGTCTCTTGAAAGAGGATGCCTGAGAGGACCTATATCTCACGGAGGAGAAAATGGCGCCAGGTTTTAAAGCGGCAAAAGACCGCTTGACGCTGCTGCTTGGCGCGAACGCTGCCGGCGACTTCAAGCTGAAGCCAAAGCTGATTTTTTGCGCTGCTAACCCACGGGCCCTGAAAGGATCACCTTCCTGTCATTTACAAGGCAAATAAGAAGGCATGGATAACCGGCGCTATATTTAGCCAGTGGTTGAACGTGTATGCCGTCCCTGCACTGAAGGAATACTTCAAAATTCTTCTGATCCTTGACAAAGATCCAGCTCATTCTCCCAATCTCGACGACTTGCATCACAGTGTAAAAATTGTATTTCTGCCTCCCAACACGACAGCACTGATGCAGCCTATGGACCAAGGCGTCATCGCTGCATGCAAGGCGTATTATTTATGCCGTACCATGGCCTAGCTGCTCAAGGCTACAGACAGAGATAATAAACCTACGATCCGAGAACATTGGCGTGGCTTCAACATTCTTCATGCAATTGACAACATTGGCAAGGCATGGGAAGAGGTTTCAGAAAGTTGCCTGAATGGTGTGTGGGGTAAATTGTGAGTCAACAGTTTTACGGGATTCATAGATTTAGTCCCAGCAGTGAATAGGGATATTCTCAGTTTGGCTAGACAGACAGGCTTTGATGAGCTGGAATCAGAGGATATTGAGGAGGTCCTGGCATCCCATACAGAAGAGCTCACCAAAGAGGATTTGCAACAACTAACAAAACACTGTCCCATTGAAGACAAAGATGACGAAGAACCTCAACGAACGTGAACTACCAAGAGGAGGGCAGAAGCGTTCAACATGATCCAGCAAGGTATGCAAATCCTTGTAGATGATGACCCAAACAGAGAATGTAGTTCAAAGGTTCAACGCAGCATTGATGAAACTCTTGGTTGTTACACTGAGATGTATAAGGACAAGAAGAGTAGCACCAAGCAGTCAACACCGGATTAATTTTTTTGTCGCGGGACTGCAGAAGCAGCAGCAGCATCTTCACAACAGCCGGCAGCCGAAGAAGAGCAAACAACAAAAGAGAGAAGCAAACATCAATGGAGGAGGAGGAGGCAGCCACAGAGTCTCAGTGGCTCACCACCCTCCTCCGCTCCCATCTGCCTCCTCCCCTCCCGCCTCCTTAGCTTCATTACCCACCACACACTCGCTCTACCACCTCTGCCCATCGGTGAGTACCCTCACAAACTTGGTAGTTGTATATGCATGCACTATTTTCTCTAGAAATGGCAATGATTTTCTGTATATGTAATGTATTTCATGGGGCAAAGGGAGGATCAGGAACGTAACTCCTGTATTTTATCTATTTCTTATGGGGAAAATTGATCCACTTAACATTGTTTCGTATAACATCGCATTTTCAGGAACGTAACTCAGACGCTAAGCGAGGACTTACTGTATTTGATTATACTGTACAGAGTATTCTTTTCAGCCTTTATTTTAATTCGGCAACATGATCAAAACCGTTGCGTCACCAGGGATGTAATTACTGCAAACAATCGAATAATTCAACCATTTTTTTTTTATAAAAAAGTAGGGGGTCAACCTATACATGGGTAGTATTTTCTAGGGGTTGAAATCTATGCATGATGGGGATGGGTGAGGCACCCATTGTCTTAAAACATGAAAAATATTTACCATTTAGTATCAATAAGCATCGTATTTACCATTTAGGTTTGTACTGCTAAGCTATGTAATGCTTAAATTAAGCTAAGCTCCTTAACCTAGCAGTAGGCTAACCTATGACAAGCTTCTGGTCGGCAAGGGTACCATAAGTCTATTGGTAAGGTTTCTTTCCGTAGGGTAGTTTGCAGTTGTAAGGTAACTAAATAAATTTACTCGAGTACTGTACTCAAGTAACATTTTTGGATATTTACATTTTAAAACACTCCAATTTTTTAGTACTTTTACTTAAGTATAGTTTTCTAATATATTTACTCTAATACAATGGAAAAACCTAAAATCGTTACTCGTTACATACAAACTAATAATAATTTTTTAATTAATTAATTATTAACCATAATAAAAGAGTTGTGTGGGTGGAGGGTACGGTGTGGGTGTGGGGAGACCCCACTCGGTCACAAACCTAGAAGTCTCATGAGGTGAGGTGACGTCAGGTCAGGTCAGGTGGCAGTGGCCATGACAGCGGACTTCCCCTTTGATCTTCTTGTGTCCATTAGCACCTTGACCACCCACCTCACCTAGACTACCCTATTATCCCTTCCCCATCGAATCCCCTCTCTTCTCCCCACCTTTCCTTCAGGGGCTTGGTCTTCCCATTACATGTCAGTTGCTCTTTGCATGTACGTGTACCCAAAATGAATTTCAAAGAGGCTGTGATTCTAAAATGCTTTACATAATTCTGTCTAAGATATAAAGCCTGTATCTATACATATGTGTGAGACTGAGTGTATTTAAAATTCTGTTTAAATAACTAAGCACCATTGCCCCCTCCCCCCCAGCATCCGCCAGATGTTACGCGGTGCAAAAAATTCAGCCACTCATCAATTAGAATTGAAGTGACGTCACCACAGCCACACCCCAAGTAGTGGGACAGTTCACACTGAGTCTTAGTCAGACTCAGTCCTTATGGAGGCAACAATCTTCCACAAACTACTTAACTGAAAGAGCTTGATAACTACTTCGCATGCCCAGGGGATGAAACGGAGCTACTGAGGTCTTTCCCGACATTATATGACGTATCTCTCAAACTTAACACCCCACTACCTGCATCTGCTGCTTGTGAGTATCTGTTTAATCATGCTGGGCTTATTATTTACTAATTAATTTATTACACCCCAGGGGGCGACAAGCCTAATCACAAGACTGTGCGGTCAGGCACGAATACAGTGGTACTCGTGTCTCGCAGGACATGCTATGACTTGTGATATGAAGACAATATTGATACGATTTAAGGACAATGAGAGTTAACACCCACTAAAGCATGGGTTGCATACAAGAATTAAATCTAAATTATTACGAATAAGTAGGTGGTGACCTATAGTGGTTAGAGTGACTCGTCCTGTGGAAGGAGGGTGGTTAGAGTGACTCGTCCTGTAGAAGGAGGTCTCTTGACAGTGGGACAGTCACAGCAATAGTGTTGATGGGTGTTAGCATTGGGACAGTTACAGAGTTTACAGGAAGAGAAGTGCGGGTCATCCCCTGCCTCATATATTTACCAATTGGTCTGTATCCTAACATAATGCAACCAAAGACAACATTATATTTGTGGACCATAAGTCCATATCAACGATACTTGTGTGGATAAGTAAGACAGTAATCATAGTGTTGGTTGGATATATTTGCAGCCCGTTCACTATCCCTGCGGTGGATCGTAGGGAGATGAGCAGTTGAATGTATTCTCTTTTAGTAGTTCATGATGGCCTTATATTTAGGCCATAATTCGAAGATCCAGTTATTGATTAATCTCGACAGAAAGATTTGTAATAAACATGTGTAATGCTGTGGTTTTTTTCATCTTTAGTTAACTAGTTTTTTAATTTACTGTGGATTTATTTTAATATCTAAGACAATTAATAATTTTGCTGTTACTTTTTACTTTCAGTACTTGAGTACTTTATGAATGAGATAGTTTTTTACATCTACTTGGGTAACATTTTGCCAATGTAACAATACAGTACTTTTACTTAAGTAACAAAGTCCAGTACTTTTTACAACTCTGGTAGCATGCCAGTAGATTCCTTCTTCTGTACACCATTCGTTTAAAGTATCATATGCCACATACTGGTACAAATAAACATTCATCTCACACTCACATTGTACGACCCGACCCGCTGATGGGATTGTTGCCAAGTCGGATATTGTTCCCACCATATCCACCCCCACAAAACCCACAAAGTAAACAAACGAATCATTGTAGTAGAGAATAATGTGAGGAAAAAAAAAAAAGGTCAGGTCATGTTATATTGCAGTCATGCATGTGAAGGTATATAACCTTGGGTGTTTCTAATCTCAAATACTTATTTGATGCAAGATGTAGCAGAAAATAATGTGATGATTTAAAAGGGAATAAACTAAGAAAGGGTAAAATACTACTGAGCTTAAATTTCACAGGTTTGAGGGAGAGACGTGACAACATTGCTGATAGCGTCGTTCATCTGTTTACTGCGTCGTATGCTCAAATACTAAAGCCAGTGTGAAAAAAAAAATTAAAATTAAAAGAAATTTGGAAAATTTTTATTATATTAAAACTCAGTCTCCACAACAAACAACCGAATAGGAAAACTAGCTCAGTTGGTGTTGCTAGCTATGAACACTAGCTAATGTTATGCCTCCACGGCCAGTTTAACAATATAACATCAAATTTTACTTTTTGTGTAATGTAATGTTTTACTTCTTGGGTAATATTATACCCTGTATGTCCACATCCCCCACTAGGCCTATCAGTATCCTTCAAACCCTAAGGCCGACTTATACATGAGGAGTAATAATAATAATAATAATAATAATAATAATAATAATAATAATAATATTAATAATAATAATAATAATTATAAAAAATAAATAAAATTATCCCCCAAAAGCTGGGGGAGGGGGGGTTGAACTATACACAAGTACGCTAAAATAACTCCAAAATTATCATGCTACATTAGGACAAAGTCAACTTTAGCAGTGGAGGACACAGAAGCCATTAAGAAACTGCACCATTAGTTATGATGCAGTGCAAGACTGTGAGGTCCAGCCAAGACATGTGGTTTTAATTTCAAAGTGATGCACCAAACAATAAGTCTACTGCACTGTGCTTATATACATTGTCAGATGTTTTGCTTTCATTGGTTTTAATTTTTTATGTGGTTTTATTTGAAGAAAAAATGCTAAATTTATCCATTTAACATTTTATTTTTTCCTCTGACTCATGAAGGAAAACCAACATTGAATACGTAAGCAAACCAGTAGAAAAAATGGCATTATTATAAGCGTACAGTAAAACCTCAATGATACGAGTCGATACATTCCTTGGAGTCTGCTCGTATAGCAAAAACTGGTATAATGGAGGGAATAATACATGGGTTAAATAGGGATGTATTCCCGAGCACATAGTATAGTGATGACAGTAAATGAATGCAATGCAATTCAATACAAGTGGACAAACTCGGATAGCAGATTCAAACACTGCGAGAAGGGAGGCGGTGGCTGGAAGGAGGACAGTAGGGATGTAGGGAAGGGGTGCACGGCCTGGCAGAGTGGCTCAAAAACATATCTCTGCGCATCTGGCTAGGGGGAGGATGGTAGGGAGGTAGAGGAGGGCTGTGCGGCCTTGCAGAGTGACTCACAAACACGTCTCTGCGTATTTACATCACGAGAGACGTCACAGACCAAGTCGCTGCTCGTTCTGCTTACTTGGCTGGCTAAACAGAACAAAGAACATTTTAGGCCCATGGGTGCTGGTTGACTGGGAGGTGGGAAACAAACAGTTGTCAATTGTTGTTTGTGGGAGTATTTCATTCACTCTAGTAATGATACAGTGCAAAGTTTCTTATTATGTTATCATAGTTAAATGCATGGCTTATATAATTTGTTTATCACTGGGCCCATCACCGTTTTCAAATTAGACTACAAGATATGTATTTCTCCCATACATATTTTGATCGTCCGCCTGACAACGGGAAGAGGAGTGACTCATGTGACGCGTCGTCTGCAGTTGTAACTCTCCTCCCTCCCTGCCATATTTCACTAAATTTACTGTTATTATAAGTGTTTACTGATATAATAATGCTTAATAGTGATTTATCATGGCACTGTAGCCAAGTTAGACTAGTCACAGCAACCACCAGGCTGTGCGGTGCTTTGGTTGTTTTTCAACTCGTATTTTTGGGTAGATATGGTATATGTTACTTTCTTCATTTATTTTTACTCATTTGCATGCACACACCATCCTACATACATAGTGTGAAAAAAGTAAAAGACTTATTGTCCTAAGGGTAAACCTTTACTCAAATGTACTAAGTTAATTACTGTACTAAAATTTTTATGTCTGCTTACAAGAATTCCAGCAATGTAAGTTATATTCTGCCAAGTCAATTCAGTGACATTTTATAAGCAAAAAACTTACTCTCTCCCTTTGACTGATAACTACACACTTGGTAATCTCCTCGCCGGGTGTCAACACCTTACCTCACCCCTCCCCCCAGCCAAGGTGAAGGTAGTTTTAGGCTTTAAGTTTTTATTTTATAAAATGTCAGACTAAACTTAGCAGAATATAACTTGCATTGCTGGAATCCTTGCAAGTTAGCAAATAATTTGAGCATAACCATCACATAGTTTGCATAAGAGATAAAAATTTTTGTCATTCATTGTAGTACACTTGAGTACAAAGTGAGTGCAGTAATATGTTGCTCAAAATTATGTCTTTTCACAGGAAAAAGTCTGAATAACTAATCCCAGTGGTCACTGTACTCGCTTCTCATATCAACGAACAATATCGCTCGTATAGCAAATATAAGGTGCAAATTCTTTAACCTCGTATCATCGCATTCTCGTAAAACGCAAATTCTTTAACCTCGTATCATCGCATTCTCGTAAAACGAGATCCCCGTATTTATTTTTTTCTCTTAGGAATAATATTAATTTACACTCAAATATTTATCTTACAGCAACACCGATTGTCCACCAATACATTAAAATTTGTCACTGAAGCATTAAAATATATTTATTGAGCAACATATATTCAATTGCTGAAATAACTCTTTTTGCACTTACCCATAGTTAATAATATCTTCCGTGTCACTGGGAGAATCCTCTGGTTCATCCTCTACTCTCTGTATCACTCCACCTGGCCCATAATAAACAGTTCCCATCTGAAAAATATATGGAACAATAAATGGAGGATAGAAGATTAAAATCCCATTATATATATATATATATATATATATATATATATATATATATATATATATATATATATATATATATATATATATATATATATATATATATATATATATATATATATATATATATATATATATATGAATACTGCTGTGAGTGAGTGCCTGAGGTATGTCACAGTTGTTGGGTTAAGAAAGTACAGTATAGCAGAGTTTACCAAGCCTTCTATAAATTGAGGACTATCCTTCCTTGAAGCACATAATTTGGGTTGGAAATGCTCTCTTAAAAGTACCTTGATATCAAAGTTTATGTAAATTTCTCTCAGGCCATAATATGGAAAACCTCTTCAGTCAAGTACTCTCATAGTGCATTTTGGTTTTGTAAATCTAATTACCTTAGTATTCAAGTTAAAAATGAAAGATTGTTCCTGATATCCCATTTTTATGGTCAAGTCTGGAACTTAAATAAACATACTAATACTGCTGATATACATTTTAAAAAAGTGCATCATAGTAGTCTTAGGACACACACCCCTTAACTGGTACCTCTCCACAATTATGGACAGGATTTTTGGATTTTCTTTTTCTCAGTGGAGGTGGTATTGAACCAAAAATCAACTCACTGGTTAATCAGACACTCCTGCAACACAATCTAAAAACCTACATAAATACCTAAGAGTGCATGATTGCAAAATGGGAGTGAAAATATAAAACCTGTAACAACAACAACAACAACAACAACAATAGAAATAATAATAATAATAATAATAATAATAGTAATTATAATAAATACAAATTTTAATGAAAAATACAAGAAATAAAATAAAATAATAATAATAAAACAGTAATAAAAATAAATAAAAGTAAATAAAAAACTAAATAAAATACAATAAATAAATAAAACAATGAAAAAAAAAAAAAATCAAGAGTGAGAAACAATATATGTACAGTAGCTAAAACAACTCTGTGCATACTTTGTGGGAAACAATATGAGACCATGGATGATAAATTTTGGCATATGAGGGAACCATGACAATTGGCGCCCAAACAAGGACTCAGACCGCAGATAATTGCACTCTTGTCAACAGTTTGTGCAAACGCGTATATTGTACTACGAAATAATTACTAGTACATTTGAGGGGACCCTAAGAAATTTTGGGTCTGAAGTTAAAGGTGGAAAATAAAGAATAGAAGAGGACTTGTGATGTTTGCCAGAACCGGCGACGGAGGGCGAGTTCTACCTGCACCCCTGTGGCCTCTCACAGTGATCCCCGAACCCCTGAGAGGGTGGCGGCGGACATTGTGGTCAGTAAACCCAGTTTCACATCAGCCAGCTGATTCACTACGAGGCGGTGGACTGTACACCCAAGGGTCAGTGACGGGAAGAGTACCTCCACACCTTTGGGGGTCCACAGCGACAGAGGGACCCAGTTCCACATCAGCCGGCTGAAGGAGTCCTTCTCTTCACCCACTGGAGAAGGTTCATTCGACATTGTAGAGCATGTCTAGGACCTGACCTATGTGTGGGAGTGTCCATATGTTCCGGTCAACTCGAGCCTCCACGCATCTGAAAATCTAAAGTAAATGTTGAGGTTTTCCCTCAGTGGCGATTGGCGACTACATCCCATTGCAGTGTTAGTGTCACACACACACACCACAGTGTGAAGGTCGAATTGTGTCTAATATCAATACCAAACAGAAAAAACTTACAGGAATATTGGAATGTGTTGGTGTATCAACCGGAGAGTGTGTAGGTGATGGAGGTCCACGACCCCAATTGGCAGCTCTCAATTCTATGACAGCTAATAGAAGAGAACGAGTTGTGGAGGCTACTGGGGCTATCATTGCCACATCCTTCACACTGCACATCACTCGATCCATTTCACCTCTATTGCTGGTATCTAGTGAACTCCCTGTAAACTGGAAAGATAAATAAAATAGTAATAATTAGTATATATATATATATATATATATATATATATATATATATATATATATATATATATATATATATATATATATATATATATATATATATATATATATATATATATATATATATATATATATATATATATATATATATATATACAGGGGGTATGCTATAACGAATCTAATTGGTTCTAGAACCTTTGTTCGTTATAGCATTCGTTCGTTATAGGATTAATCGCTCCGCTTAAATACAACCACTTAACACTGAAAAATATAATATAAAATTGTAAAAAGTGCATAAATATGCATCTAAACCCCTGAAATAAAGAATATCATTAATACTTGTAATAAAAAACAATAAATTAGTAAAAAAAAAATATATATATATATTTTTTTTAAATAATATTCGTTGTAGGAGTTTCGTTCGTTATAGCATTCTCAATTTTATAGGTAAAACCGTTCGTTATAGGAATATTCGTAGTAGGATCCGTTCGTTATAGCATACCCCACTGTATATATATATATATATATATATACGTATAGGATAAATGGAAAGGTCCTCAATGCCCGTTGGGTATAACTCTTTTATATTGAAAGTAGGACTCTCTGTCATGTTAGTATAATGTCACTATGATTGTTCAGATTTTCCTTGATGGGGCAATAACAGCTGAAAGCATGATAGGGGAAGCACATTTAACATACAGGGATGTAAAAAAACATTTGGGAGGTGAGTCAGCTGATGTTTGTAGTACAGTAGATGACACTACACTGGTGGGCACTACAGAAGAAAAGATGCAAACTTTTTAATGAGTTTGAAAGTGTGTTTAATAAGAAAAAATTCATATAATATTGCAGGAGTAAAATCTTCTCTTTCCTCTCTGTACTACTGTCTGTTCTCTATTACTCTGGAATCCTTTTCTTTGATTCAGTGCAAAAGAAAAATAAACTTTCAAAAACAATAGTTTCATGAGCTTAACTCACCTTTAAAACCTGTGCAACACATTTAAGGTTGGAATCTGTTGGTTGTGACAGAAGTGTTGTCAGAAGTTGACAGAGAGCTCCTCGAAGAATATCAAGTGGTTGACCACTTGGAATGACAAGCTGGGTGAAGAGTTCCGCGAGGAACAAAGTGAAACCACACACTCTTGATGGCTCCGAATGCAGGTAAACTTCTTTTACATTGAATTCTTCCTGGCATCTACAAAGAAATAATATCATGACAGAAGAATTCACCTAATGGAAATTATTATATATGGCATCCAGGAGGAACTGTACTTTATAAAATATATAGCTAAAATATGAACATTGTTCATAGTGGACAGATGGTAGTGTGGTAGTGAAGGAAACATTACTAAGAGATCCCTCTTGACAGAAATTTCAAATTTCTCTGTGATTTGTAAAGATCCAAGTAAAATCTGTCTGATTGTTTCCACTAATTTATAGTAATACTGTACCTAGGTTTATTTATCAAATTATCATGACACATCCACAAGTTTTAAGACTAACTTTAAATTTTATTTTGAAAAAAATCATATGTAACGTGTGTAGAATCAAAGTTTAGTAAGGTACAATCAGAAGTATGAGAGTCGCCAGGAACACAGTAAGACCTAGGAAAAAAATTCAGGCCTAGCTCAGATTGAGTGATGCACTAGATCAATCATAATTTTTGTGTCTTGTGAATAATACAAGACAAATTACAACCTAGACAGTCAACCACCAGATACTTATTAGGGTTTGTTTGAATATCTGAGTAATGTTCAATGTGAAAAAAATTATGAAAATTATGCAAATTAAATAAATGAAGAGAATGATGGTGACAAACTGACAAGGAACATTAATCCTGGAAAAATCCACACTTCTTATGTCGGTGCCCACCTGCCTAGCACATTTTTTTCCTGGTCATTGTGTCTTCCTGTAATTAAATTTAAATCTAGGCTAGCTACATTTATTTAAAAAATCCAGACACAACAGTCAGTAATAAATAAAACATTGCATCTCTAGGAATCCAATATAATCCATCAAAATAATGAAAAATTCTGTGTATAAATGGCAGAAACATCAGGAATAAAGCTCCATCTATTAGGTGTTTCCTTCACTACCATATTATCATATAGCTAAAAGAATTAGTTCATCAACTATGACTAAAATAATCATTCAATTAAATACAAGGCTAAACTGATTAATTCATATTCAGCAAGTAGTTGCTAGTTCAACAACAGTACATCTCAAAGTAAATTATATCATTGATAAAATTAATCCATGAAATCTAGTTCACAGTTTGATACTTTACTAAGTGAAGTGGTTGGTGTTAATTTCTCTTATGATCAAACCTGTGTTAAGTCCTCCAAGAGCTCTAAACATTCCTAATTATCAAAAATAAAAAATAAAAGGAATAACTCAGTTTAAAAATCACATTTTTTTTAATTTTTGGCTCATATTTGTCATATGAATACTGTACCCAGAATAAATCTGTAATATTTGATAGTGTCACACTGGTTAACACCATTCTCACATCTGACCTGAGGATACAACCCACAAAGCAGTGTGTTATGCTAATGGTGTTGTGTTTTTACAGGTATCTAATTATTATTTTACTCCAAATTTATAGTACATAATGTCTTTTAAGTGACCATCTGACCATCAAATATTCTTGGTTCTAGTTCTGACTACAGCCTAGTACAGTAATAATTTTAATAAATGTACAATGTTAGTTTATTTAGTGTACGACTTGAAAAATATGTATTAGCCCGTCAAACAGACAGTGATACTTATATAAATGTGGGCTACATACGTTATGTTTATATAATTACATCACCCACGGTAATTAGCCTATGAGCAGTAAGTACTCATAATTGTACGCGTTAGTGTTTTTCCACTGCTTCCAAGGTTAGATGCGTAACCACACCAGTCGCCCCTTGTGGCTCAACAGTGAAGGACGTAACCTCGACCTTACATTTCTCACCATTTTCTCGTGGCCTGTGCTGATTTTTTGTTCATCACAGATTTAATTTATTCATAAAAGTGCTGCGATAGTTTCGAACCATGCCTTATGTTGCCGGCGAAGGTGGAAGGGAGGAAAAGTGTAAAAAGTTTAAGGAGAATCCACTACATGGTGATAGTAAGGTGCCTCCTGAGACCTCTCCCAGTGTCCCTGGACCTTCTAGTGCAATTGATAGTTTGTCTGGCCCCGCAACAAGCAATCCAAGTGCGAAAGGTACTGCCCGGCGTGTCTAGAAGGTAAAATGAAAAAAGTGTTGCTCATGCGGTATCTCAGCCATCTCAGTGTGACCACTCATCTTCCTCATTAGCGCACACTACCCGTATTCCCACTAAAACTGGATTTAGTCACCCTGTTCAGACTAAGTACGGCACTGTTGGGCATGGAGGAGGGGGGAGGAAGGGCGTGAGGGGAAAGGAACATCTAACAACATGTAAGTAAAGAAATGCATTTATTTTTCTAAAAAAATTTAGGTAATATTTTTATGCATTACATTTAACCAATAATTTACAATTATTATATCATATGAATTTAAAAAATAACAAGCACTTTTAAACATTTAAAATTTATGTAAAAATACAGAAACTTTGAGTGAGGAATGTTTGCATTTGGGAGCTTGGGTGACAGCCATGCACTACAATTTGTGTTATACTCACACTTACATATACAGTAAAACCTCGATTAACCGACCACATATGGGGGGAAGGGGCCGACGTATAATCCGAAAGGTCGGTTAATAATACATAAAGTCTATGGAAATAAAACACATTTTCAAAGTACCTTTCCCCAACCTACCTCATTTAATTCCCTCTATTCATATTTTTTCATTTGCCTTTCATATTTCAATAGAATTTGCTTTAAAACATTAACCACTTTAGTAAATAAATATAAACCGGCACAGAAACCGTGAATAAAAAATGGAAAAGTCAAAGAACATATGTCATCACAAAAATTGTGACCAAGTCCCAGGTTGCTGATCTGATTTTCTACCTCATTTACACACAATTGTCGGGTCTCAATTGCTTCTCTTACTATTGACAACACAACATACATATAGTGAACCCTCGCTTTACACGGTTTCACTTTACGCGTTTTTACATTTACGCGGTACCCTGCCAGAACCGGAATTCCCACTTTACGCGGTGCATCTACTCATATACGCGGGTGAAGTATAATTTTTTTATTTAGCTCATAAAATTCATACAAATTATCCGGCCAGAATATAATTTACATTGCTGGAATTCTTACAATTTGATGATCATTTTGAATATAAGCATCATAGATTTTGCATTAGACATACAAATTTTAGATCTAATGCAAGTATTTTGTTTACTCAGAGCAAATATGTTATCTTTTGTGCAAAATATATGAAGTGTATATTCAAAATATTCCTGGTCTTGCAAGGAATCCAGCAATGTCAATTATATTATCCTAACTTTAGTCTGAGGTATTATTTATTACTAAAAAGGTAAATATTCTGGTTTCTCCCACACATTTCTCTGGTAGGGATAGTTGGTGGGGTGTGGGGGGGGGAGGGAGGGACCGACCGACCATCTGGCGCGGTTGGTAGAGGGGGGAGGCAAGGTGGGGTACTTTGATTGACAGATAGTGTCGTGAAGAATATATTTTTTTTTTATTAACTGAAGATATTTGTTTTAGCTCAGAAAATTCATACAAATTACCATGCCAGAATATAATTTACATTGCTGGAATTCTTAAAATTTGATGATCATTTTGAATATAAACATCATAGATTTTGCATTACATACAAATTTTAGATCTATTCTAAAGTATTTTGTTTACTCTGAGTAAATATGTTATATTTTGTGCAAATTATATGACATTTATATTCAAAATATTCCTGGTCTTACAAGGAATCCAGCAATGTCAATTATATTATCCTAACTTTAGTTTGAGGTATTATTTATTACTACTGTATACCTTAAAATCTAGTGGTTTTTCCCCCAAACATTTCTCAGAGAGGGAAGAGCCAGGAGTGTGAAAAGATGGGGAGGGAGTCGAGTCCATTATTTGAATGGACATTAACTTGGCGACTGTATTTCTCTATTTCTCTTAAGTATTAATTGTGTGCATGCACCATCATAAAATTAAGATGTTATTTTTACTAGAACATAGGTATTGTGTTGGAAAAAATGGAGTTTGGGGGGGTCAGCCGGTCTCTATTTCATTTAATCCCATATGTTATGTTGTTCACTTTACACGTTTCTCGCTTTATGCGGGCCTCCGTGGGTTCAATTGACCGCGTAAAGTGAGGGTTCACTGTATTGTTTCTCACTCTTGATTTTTTTTTTCATTTTGCATTTATTTATGGTTCTTTATTACTATTATTATTATCATTATTAATATTATTACATTATCGCCCCCCAGGCCCCGATGTGGGTCATTGACCTGTGCCCGGGTGGGCTAATCCCTGTGTGTGTGTATATATATATATATATATATATATATATATATATATATATATATATATATATATATATATATATATATATAAATATATATAATCCAAAAGTTGGTTAATCGAGGTTTTACTGTAGATTTAATAATTTTATTGCAATTACCTACATAAAACTAATTGTATATAATGTATTTTCAATGCTAATGTAACAAACCCGACCTTTCTATCTCCAATAGTAAGCTTCCTATGACTCAATACAGTATGTACAATTATATTTTGCATTCGGAGGGAAAATTTTAATCATCTGCACTCGGCCTAGACGCGCTCATCAGAACGTATAATTTACACCATTATTACCCAGCCAAATACTGTATTAAATTTTCACAACTTTTCTTCTTAGCTATTTTTTGCTATACCTACCTGTATATGTAAACTTTATCATAGAATAGGGTTCATATTGCAATCACATGAAATAACGAATGTATCAAGTGATGTACAATATACACATTTTCATTAAGTGTAATTTTTTTTTTCTACTCGCGCTTCCGTATAAAAATAATTATTTATTGTGATTTCTCATATAAAACTATTTGTAGATAATTTATTTACAATACTAATGCAACAAAACTCATCTTTATTTCTCAAATAGCAAGCTTGCTATGACTCATTACGTACAAATATCTCTTGTGTGGTGCCTGGGAATATATTGGAAGCATAATGTGTTGTCTAATGGTAGACCCTGCTGCCACATGGCATCAAAATTTTTTTTGACCTAGTCCCA